AAAGGAGGTTGGCCGAAGAAGCCCTTGGATATAGTTGCAATACCACATCACTCATACCTTATCACTCACATTCCAACGTAACAACAGATGTCCTTAATGCTATGTTTTGGCACATATTCTATTGCATCTCAGTAAAACTGTCAATGCATTAACATTAAATGAAGAGGTTTTATATAAAACTTTTCAATTTCATAATTGTTTTTCCTATGTATTTCTTGGAAGATGGTCAAGTCACATGGAATCACATAACAAGCAAAAATAAGCAAAAATTTCAAGACTGTGTATATAAAATTCATTTATGGCCATAAATCTTGGCTGGGGAGCAAAATAGCCAAGTCTTAGTGTGTGGTTTCAAAATGTATTTTTACTTTATTTTGACCAATTAAAATTAACTTCCATATGTAAACTATTTTAATCAATGATCTAAATGTAACAAATTTATAATATCTTTAAATTTTTCTTAGTGCTATCTAGGAATAGGTTTCACAGAACAAAATAATTTCTGTAACTAGATAATAAGTTCAGTTTTTTCACTGAATTGTAATGATCTTCAAACTTTCAAAGAGTTTTGCAAACTGCCTTTTAAATTCTGCTTGTGAGCTCTTCTAAGAACAAGCATAATCTATGAAGTTAAGGTATTGCTGTGACCTTCTAATGTGGAAAACTTTAATATAGACTTTTTGGCTTAAAATGATAAGGAAAAATAATTATGAACTTTTGGCCCTTTACATTATGAAATATGTCACGATTGAACTATATTTTGTTTTTTAGAGGGTACAATGTCTTATTTCTATGGACTATTCTGAAATTCAGAAAGCATCAATTTGTGAACTATTTTCCAGGAGAATGTAGTGTATCCCATGTACACAGTATAGAAACTAGGTACTCATGTCAGGTCTCTAAAACAAGTCATTTCCCTAATTTTCCACTAAGTTTCAGAGGTTAACTAGTTCGTTTCGAAGCAACTGATAAACAATTTTCAAAGGTTTCTGGAAGTCAGAATATCTTTTACATGGTTTAAGGTGAAGTTTTTCATGTAGCAAGATAACAAGACTAACTTTGATTACATAATAATTTAAAGATGAACAAAAGACTTCACAAAACTGCAACATCAAGGGCATCATCATAGTTCTGATTTAATGCACCCACCTGTAGTGAACTCACATTTATAAGAGTAATTCTACTTCCCCCTGGTTACTACAGTATCTAATTTTGGCGAGCATATTTATCTACTACATGGCGTTTACTTTGTTTTGTGCATATGATTTGGAAATGTGATATGTAGCTGACAATTTTAATCAACAACTGTTGAGACTTTGGAAATCCATAAAATAGCTAATGTCATCTACTCTAAAATTCATTATGTTTAAAATAATCACGCACAATCTTCTGCAAGACACGACACACACTTAAGGCCAACTCAAAAAGAGAACGTGTTCATAAAATGGCAGCAAGGATGCAGTCAACGGTGCACATTTGAAATGGGCTAGACAACGCATGAAGTTTTGTGAAGCAACATCCACTTGCCCTAAGACAGTATCAAACATTAACCTACTTACACAATAATTTTACTACAAGTCAATGCGACAGCTGCCAACATTTTAAATGGTTGTGAATCCAACCTCAGTTGCCCAAGAAGTCATACAGGTTTTCAATGTGGAGGCTACCTTGCCCTCCTTGTGCAGTGGTAGACTACCGAGACGTCTCCAGTCCCAATGTGCTCTAAAGTCAAAAGATAACTAGAATTCTTCACAAAAGGACTTGCACACGCAAGAATGAGCTGGGAATGTTTTTGGTTTTTTTGTTTATTCTTTTTTACATAAAAGCTTACCAAGAATAGGACAGTGGCTGGGAAACCACTTTTCTAAATATATTTTCATACAAAATAATTTCAAGATATAATTATATTAGGTTCTTGTACAGTACTCTAAACAAGAATTAATAAAATAGTTAAGTATGTGAAAACTGAAACACCACAAAGATTGAGCCGTTTTACTAGTGTGATTAAACATTAGAACAATCTTGGAACAGGCAAGCAAAATATTGAGAAAGCAGAGTCACGGCTGCACACCTCACTGATTTCAGCTGTGACCTGCACATTGTGAGACAGCGTTAAGTACCTTACACAGATGGTTCAGTAGCAGAATGGCACTTGGATTGCTTCTAATAGAAACAACATGAACGCAACTGACAATTTAGAGACAGACAATGGCCTTATGTGCATGCTGAAAATCAGATTGTGTCCCTCTAGTTCCACACACCGTTCACTGTGCAATCTGTCGACGAGTAAACAAATAGTGCAGGATTCATTTCAGTCAAATCTAGGCCCCTTGGTCTACCCGAAATCAATTCTTGGTCGATACTGCAATACCATAGGGTATGACTATAAAATAAAAACAGATGATGAATAAGGCTGTGTTTACATAAAAACAATTACAGTTTATATATGAAAGCTTTTAAGAATTTTGGGTTATACTTCACAACATTTCCTAGTAATAGAATTAAAATAGTTAAAATTACCATTTAAGATTCAAATTACTATCAGTTAACACTCTTTCCCTTCTCCTCGCCTTTCGCACTTCCCTCCCTTCCTCCCCCCTCCTTTCTTATAGAGAGCCTGTGGAGGATGCCAGCTGCATACTCTGCTTCCAGGCACTTCACCAGCAACCCTGAAAGCCAAGCCACTGAACTATGGCTTCTACCAGTGCTGCCCTTGGTCAAAACCCACAGAGCCACACATTAATAAGAGATCTGTGAATCAATGTAACCAGTTTTCACAAAGAACATTGTTTACAAGTGTGATACTTTTGCCTTTTTAGCATTTATATTTTAACAGTCTTTAAAAATATTTTTAAAAAACATGTACCATTTGTTACATGACATATTTAGGCGACTGCTTCTTTTCAATAGTCAGTTGATACTATTCACTATTTTGCTCTATCGCATGATATAATGAAAAGGTTCATTCTGTCCCTGGTGTTGCTCTATGTAGCAACTCTAGGGCACCCAGCTACCCACCACACAGTATTAGGGAGGAAAGAGCTTCCCGCAATGAAGGCATGGGCCATACTCCTTTTGCATGTTTCAAACTCATCTTCACCATCAGAACCAAAATGTCCTAAAGTCAAAAGCAGTCTGGAGAATCAATGTTTTTCCTGTTCTAAAGTCTGTAGGCTCCCCCTTTAAAATGAAATCGGATGAGCTAACTATCATGGAATCAAGAAAAGGCTGAGATGGCTACTGACGAATTCTCCTCTACTCAGCATAGGTAAATGCAAAAACTTTAGTATAGAGAACACTATATTCTTTCATATAGAAAAAAGGCACGGATTGAGATTCTACAGTCCCGGACCAGTCCAATTTGGCACTTATAGGTACGTTCACACTGAGGAGACCAGATGCTGGCATATATATATAAAACCTTCCGGCTCAAGATACCAGAGTGGGAAAAAAGATGCCCCAGAACTTGCTCTCTCAGTAGAAGAAATAAAGCAGTTGCCACTTCTGACCTTCTATGAGCTAGCACAGAAGTCTCAGTCTTGCAAGGTTTCCATGGTCTTGGCCCCATTATGCCTTTCAATTTTGTTCACTTTACTAATTCCCCCTCTACGTCACTCCACCCCCCAGCTTGCTCTATTACACTAGCCTTTCAAACTTCACTTTCCATTCCAGATTCAGGAATCTGTACACTTTGTGTAAATAAATTACCTATTTCAGGAGACCTTTATCATATACAAAAGCACCATCAATAAGTCTACTGAGGGTGAAAAAGTAAAACTGGAAATGAACTGGCTTGGCTGTCAATCATTGAGATTTGGTGTTTTTGGCCAAAGATTTTTTTTTTCTCCTCCAAGAAATAATTTGTGTTTGTTCTATGGCCACATATGAAGTTTAATAATTTTACTGAAATACAAAAATTCCTAGGATATACTTCAAGTTATATTCATGCTTCAGTTTTCCCTCTGAAGAGAAAGCACCTGCTCTAATGAAATATGGTGTGTCATTACCCCTATCAAATGATGACACTCCATGGATCTACCTTTCATAGAGTTTCTAGTTCCTAACTCTTACATAATAAAAACAGAGTCTCAAAGTATACACTTCACCCATGATAACTGTAGACTATGATAAAGCTGTCCTTGGCTGACATGCTTTTGTTTCTTAAATAATATTTTATTACATTAAAATATCTTGCTTTTATTGTAAAGTTGGAAAATACAGAGACAATCCAAGAACAAAAAAGAGGAAAAATTTAAACGCTATCTTCCAAAGACAATCACTGTAATAATTTTAGTGTATATGCTTCTAGCTTTTTAATCTATTTTTTCAAAACTGGAATCATATTAAACATATTGTTCATGAAATAGTTTTGTCCATTTAAAATACTACAAATATATTTCTACACTATTTTATACATTCCTACATGCTCATTTTTGATGTGTACATATTATACAGTTAAAGAAATGAGCCACAGTCCATATCTCCTTCTGATGTACTTAGAGATTATTTTACTTTTGTTACTGTAAACTAATCTTGACCCAATGCTTTATATTCACCACAAAGAACAGATTCCTGGTGTGGAATTGCCAGTTCAAATGCATCCATACATTTTCAAAGGCTTTTGGCTCGATGCTGTCATACTGGTCTTTCAAGAAATTTGTTCTAGTTTTGTATTTCCAAAGAAACTACAAGTGCCTGTTCCTCCAAAGTCTTGTCAATAATGGGTATTATTCTTTCCCCTCCTAATTTGGCAATTTTATAAACATAAAACAGCATTTGACTTCTTTTGTATTTTTTGAGTTCTAAAGAAGCTAAAACTACTAAACAATTTTTGTCATATACTACATATAATTCTGAGATTTTTTTTTTTTTGCCTAGTACTTTTTAGTATTGATCATTAACTTAAGATTTGTCCTCTTCAGGGGCTGGAGAGATGGTGTGGCAGTTAAGAGCACTACCTGCTCTTGCAGAGGACCCAGGTACAATTCTCAGCATCCACATGGCAGCTAACAACCATCTGTAACTCCAGTTCAGTATCCAACACCCTCTTCTGTCCTCCAAGGGCACTGCATGATGCAGGTACACTTACACACATACAGGCAATACACTCATACACACAAAATAAAAAAAAAAATAAAAGATTTGTCCTCTTTAATTTCAAAGGTACAATGTAGAAGACTGTCCCCATTAAAAGATCAGTTCCTCAACTGAATTTTGTGCTTGATCTTTTATAGTATTTTTAATATTATCATTTTGATCCATCAGAACTGTGTAATGTGAGATTTGGGTTGAATTCCCCTGATACAATCTAGTGTAATGAAACAAGCCCTAGGAGATCAGCATCCATCCTCAAACATTGCATCTCTAAGTATACAATTTCCAGCACTCCCTTTTATACTGTCTGCTCCACTGCCACTGGGCTCCTTGAAGATCTCAAACGATGAGATACCTGTTGTTCAGGGCCTTGTATCCTGTGGCCTTAAGTGCTCTATACTATTCATGTGCTCACATCTCTTCTTTCCTTATGTCCAAACCCACCATATCAAAGAGTTTCTTCCTTTGGTTATCTTACCCTATGAAATGTTCTTGTGGGGAGGGGCATGCTCATGTAGGTATATATATGCAACAGTGTATGCATGCAAATGGAGGCCAGAGGGCAATCTTGGACATGGTTCCTTAGGGACTGTCCATCTTTGTTTTTTTGAGAGAGAGCTTCTCATTGGCATGGAGCCAAAAAATTAGGTTAGGATAGCTGGCCAGGGAGTCCCAGGGATCTGCCTGTCTCTGCCTCCTGAGCTCTGAGATTATACATGCATACTACATGTGGGTTCTTGGGTTTAAATTCAGGTCCTCATGCTTACAAAGCAAGCACTTTGCAACTGAGCTATCTACTCAGCCCTATAAAATATATTCAACTCAGCTAATTAAAAATTTCTTTTGACACCAAAATTTGATTGTTTTTAATCCGCTACAATCATTAGCATATAAGTTCTATGAGAGGAAAAAGATGTGCTCATTTTTTACTTCTATTGAAGAGGGCCTGGTGCATACTTAAATGTTCAGCAGATATTTATTAAATGAACCCTTTTATCCCCTCTATCAATTTGAATACTGTATTCATAGGCTTCCATGTACTAGAGCTTATTCCTGAGCAAATCCTTGTTTATATGTCTCTGTTTAAGTTGGTACCTGATTTGAACTATTTTAGCTTTATAGTGTACTGCACTACATGGGTAGCAGTGAACTTGTCCCCTCCATTACTCGCTTTTAAAATATGACTGATCAGAAATACCTATTTCTTAGTTAATTTTAGGTAACTGACTTTGTCAGGTTAAACAAAAATCTTGTAAAAGTGTATTTAGAATATTTAACTTCATAATTTAAACATTGGGAAGACTGACATCTCTATAACATGCTACTTGAAAGTTCATGTGTGTGAAATGGAATTTTGGATATACACGACAGGTCTTTGTGCCAAGGAGATACCGCTGAAATACTTCATACTCAGTTGTTATCATACTTGACTCATTTTCAGTCCTTCCAAAAGATGCATACAGAGAGAAAAAGAGAAGGAGGTGGCAAGAGAAGAGGGGGAATGGAGACAGAAAACGCGGTGAAATATTAATTGGTAAATCTAGTTAAAGGACCCTCTTTGAAATAATTCCTTTAATTTTTAAATTACTTTTAAAAACTCAAAATAAGAAGCTGGTAGAAAAATCAGCACTAACTCCAAATTTCACCAAATGTCTTATCAGTATCTAATGACATTTTAGAATATTTATATAAAACACAAGCTTGTTATCTGTCTTTCTCTCTCTCCCCCACCACATTAAGCTATTTTTGCATTTCTGATAAAAATTCCTCCAGGTTTTGGTGTGCTATTCTTTTAGTATTTCAGTGTATTATTTAGCATATTATTCATCATCTTTATATTCCAATTGAGATTTGATAATAGTTTGTTTTTTAAAATTTTTATTTTTATATAGCTGGGCATGGTGGTGCACACCTTTAATCCCAGCACCGGAGAGGAAGAGGCCAGTGGAGCTCTGTGAATTTGAGGCCAGCCTGGTCTACATAGCAAGTTCCAGATCAGCTAGGGCTACA